AACAAAGAAATGCTTTTTTTTTTTTTTTTTGGTTAGGCAATTGGGGTTAAGTGACTTGCCCAGGGTCACACAGCTAGTAAGTGTCAAGTGTTTGGTCTGAGGCCGGATTTGAACTCGGGTCCTCCTGACTTCAGGGCCGGTGCTCTATCTACTGCGCCACCTAGCTGCCCCAAGAAATGCCTTTAATTGGAAAAAAAGCAGCCACAGAAGCTCATGTCACTGATGTGAAGAAATGTTATATGATGATAATCATTTGTATTTTGGCTGATGTCGTATAGAAAGAGTGACAGAATAGGAAGAAAGCAACAAGACCATAACCAAACTAGGGGTCTTGGGGGCATTCTTCCATTTGGTTCACAACCTTAGTGTTATCCTGCACTCTTCCCCCTCCCTGACTCTATCTAGACCAGGGGTGGGGAAACTGTGGCCTTCTAGGTCCTTGGGTGTGGCCTTTTGACTGAGTCCAAGTTTTACAGAACAAATCCTTTGATTAAGGGAATTTGTTCTGTGAAGTTTGGATTCAGTCAAAGGGCTGCACTTGAGGACCTAGAGAGCCACATATAGCCTCAAGACCTCAGGTTCCCCAACCCTGATTCTAGACTATCAGTTGTTAACTCTTTTTCTTTCTACCTCCACAATATCTCTCAGTCTGACACCACTTCTCTGCTAACGAGCATTATCTTGGTTCAAACCCTCATCACCTCTCACCTATGTGGCTGCCATTGCCTCCTAAAGAGAGGTATCATGGTACACTGGAAAGAGCCCTGGATCTGGAGTCAGAGAACTTGAGTTCTCTGGGTCATGTGATAAATAAGATGGAAGACTAGACCTTTTCTCTTATCCTTTCAACCTCTCAAACCTCTCCAAAACAGAAATTTCATCTGTCCCCATGATTTAGGACACTTGGAATCCAAAAGAAGGTAGACAAACAAACAGAAACTAAACCAATGAATTGACTTCTGCATTGAGCTCACTCAGCACTCCTTCCCCTTGCCCCATGCTACCAGCAATGAGGCTACACCAGCCAACGATATGGACTCTTAACAAAACCTAATCTATCACTTCAGTCTCCCCTCCCTCTTTCCAGTGCCATGGAGATCCTGGCTTTAGGCTGTAGAAGTCTACTTTGGCCAGGACAAATAGCCAGTGCCTTCTGCAGTACTCTAAACTGTGAGAGTTCCCTGGGACCACACCAGCCAGTGATGTGGTGTGTACACAAATATTTATGGCAGCTCGTTTTTGTGGTGCAAAGAATTGGAAATCGGGGTGCTCATCAACTGGGGAATGGTTGAACAAGTTGTGGTATATGATTATGATGGAATACTATTGTGTTATAAGAAATGATGAGCAAGATGGTTTCAGAAAAACCCAGGAAGCCTTAAATGAATTGATGCAAAATGAAACAAGAAGGACTAAGAACAGTATATGCAGTAACATCAATATTGTAAGGATAATCAATTGTGAAAGACTTAGCTACTCTCATCAAATCAATGATTCAAGACAGTTCCAAAGGTCCTAGGATAAAAAATGTTATTCACCTTCATTCCCTTATTCAATAAAATCCAGTGACTCACTGATAGGATAAAATATAAACTCTATTTTTTTAAAGCCCTTCATAAACTAGTCCCAACCTATCTTTCCAGCTTTGTTCTTCATTATCCCATTTCCTGCATTCCATGATTCATACAAACTGATCTTCTGTTTATCATACTCACGACACTCCATCTCTCATCTCTGTTGCTTCATCCTGGATGGTGCCCATGCCTGAATTGTATTCCTTTATTATCTCTGCCTCATAGATTCCCTCTCCTTCAAGACAGAGTCAAGCACTACCTTCTACAATCATGAAGCCTTTCCTGATTCCCTCCCAACTGCTAATGCCTTCCCTGTCTTGTATTTAATGACCTTGTGTTTATTAATATTTATTTTGCTTATATTTTTTCTGTATATACTTACATGTATACATGTTGTCTTTCCTGATATAATGTAAACTCTTTGAGAGGAGGGACTTCATAAATATTTGTTGATTGGTTGATTGAAGGAACACAGGCTTTGGCTGAAAGTAAGCCTTCTCTGTTTTAGAAAGGGTCTGATGATTATTTATGAGGGATCTAGTATTACAAAATTTTTGGAATGATTCCCTAAACTGAAATGCTTCAGTTGCAAAAACTTAAGAGCTGTAATGATACACTGTTCAGAAAACAGGGCACGGATACTCATCTACTGGCAGCCTATCCTAATGATAGAGAAAGTCACCCAAATATTTCAACTTGTCATGTGCTAAACTTGAAAACTTTTAAGACATTAAACATCCTAACTCTGTCATCATTTCTGAATATTTCACTTCCAAGGAGACCTGTAAAAGTTCAGGTTCTAAAGGCATTACTTAACTTGCAGCGATGCATAAGATTGCTGGACTTGGAGTCAAGAGGAATCTGCATTTTATTCCTGCCCCGGGTGCTCACTAGCTCATGGCAGGTCACTTAAACTCTGGTCCTCCATTTCCTCATCTGTAAAATGTTTAAAAAAATAAAAGCAAGGCACCTATCTCATTAGTTGAGAGAATCAAATAAGACAATTAATGCTTTGCAAACCTCAAAGCATAGTATAAATATTAGTTATTGTTATTTTCAGCAAAGCTTTGAATTTATCGTTTTTACTACCAGCAAAGCTTGTAAGTTAATACAGTAACCAAATGGCAACTAAAGGAAGAAATAGTAGCGAGAAGAATGTGAATTATGTTCAAAATAAGACTGCTCCAATATAGCATACTTGATAGAGTGATGGACTTAGACACAGGAAGACCTGGATTTAAATCCTGCCTTTGACACGAGTTATGTGGCCATAGCCAAGTTATCTAATTTCTCTGAGCTTCAATTTTCTCTTCTGCAAAATGGGGCTAATAATCCCTGTAGCTCCTATCTCACTGGATTATTGTGTGACTAAAATTTTGTTTTGCAAATTTTAAGGTACCACATAAATACCAGCCATCATTATCATTTTGTTGTTGTTCAGTCGTTTCAGTCATGTCTGACTCTTCATGACCCCACTTAAGGTTTTCTTGGCAAAGATACTGGCATGGTTTGCTATTTACTTCGTTTTACAGAGGAGGAAATTGAGGAAAACAGAGTTAAGTAACTTAGAGAGTCACACAGCTGCTAAGTGTCTGAGGCCAGATTTGAACTCAGGAAGATGAGTTTTCCTGACTCCACGTCCAGCACTCTATCCATTGTACCACCTAGCGGCTCATAGTTATCATTAGTTTAAAATATTTTTTAGTAATTTATAAAAATGATTTCCTTGGTTCCCCAAATCTCTAGGTATTAGGTGCCAGAAGTTTGATAATTGGCTTCTACACAGCCCTGACATTGAAGTCTTTAAAAAAAAAAGTTGTATTGGTGCCTTTTATTTTTCATACCACAGATATTTTTCAATATTCCTCATACCCCAAGGAAATCCTCCATTATCAGAAAATAGAATAGTTAAGTAAAATCAACAGACATGTTTTATACGTAGACTATAGACTATGTCTGATAGCATATAAAACATTCAGCCCTCCTATGTCTCTCTTTAACTAGAAGTGTGTTTTATTGTCAATCTTCTTGAACCAATATTGGTCATTGTCTTTAATCTGAATTCAACTGCCTTTTAGTGTTGATTCTATTGACGTTATTGCAGTGATTGTATTTATTGTTCTTTAGTTTCAGCTTTCTTTACTTGGGATCAGTTCATACGAATCTTTCCATGTTTCTCTGAATTCTTCATATTTATTCTCATAGTGTAATTATATTCTTTTACATTGATATAATACATTTGTTCAGCCATTCCTCACTTGTTGAGGTGCCCACTTTGCTACCAGTTTTTTGCTACCACGAAAAGGTTGCTATAAATATTTTGATGTGTTTGATGTGGTAGGACCAGTTGGTGCTTGTGTCCTATTGGCATAGCCTTAGGGCTTAATATAATACGATGTAATATGATGTTTTATAACAAGACATCATGTTGTATGATGTGATGTGACATGATATACAACCAACATTTGTATAGCACGTTAAAGTCTTCAAAGTGCTTTACACGTGTTATTTCATTTGGTCTTCACAACAACCCTGTGAGGTAGATATTATTATTATTCCTATTTTATAGTTGAAGAAACAGAGGCTGAGAGAGATTAAATGCCTTGCCCAGGGTCACACAGCTAGAAAGTGTCTGAAGCAGGATTCAAACTCAGTTGTTCCTGATTCCCAATCCAATGTCCTAGCCACTGAACTACCTAGCTGGATAGAAATGAAACCAGATTTATTCACTCTTCAGTATCTCCTTTTTTGGTGGTTCTGGGGAGAAAGAGCTAGGCTACATGTCTTCAATTGATTTAGGAAGGAGAAAGTTTCTTGGGATTTGCCATTTAAACCTGACTCTATTTCCTCCAAGGAAGAGAGTCAGAAGAGTAGGTCTCCTGTTCAGTAGGGCAGTGTCTTTGTTGTGCTCAGAAGTTTAATACCATTATTGCCCATTTGGAAATCACTCCCTTACCCGCAGGTGTAGTCACATGGTGCCATTAGGGGCTTGGGATGAAACAAAATACATTCAGTACATGAATAAATAACTATAAAAAATCTTTTTGGCATGAAAGCAAATAGATTTAAGAGGAAAATAGATTCAGGGGGCTGCTGACCCTTGCCTTTGCCTGAATCCTTGAAGAAAACTATCACTTACTAGCTTGCAACAGGAGCATGAAAATAGAAATATAAATTATCCTGAAACTAAGACTTGTTACTAAGTATACCACAGCTGAGCCATAATTACCTGAGGCCTCAGGTCAGAGGGAGGCAGATAGAGCCCATAGGGGGTTTCAGATAGAAGCTACTCAGTTACAGGGGATTGTTGTGAATGAGTTAGTTCATTTTTTTTTTAAGTAGGGGAGGTGTGCAGAGCCTGGGATCTTTTGTGTTGCATCAAAAGTTAATGAGCATTTCTGCTTTCATATGTGATGTTCATTGAAGATTGAAGAACTAGAAGAACAATGTAATGAGATAAATAAGGAGAAAGAGAGGAATGCACAGCTGAGCAGGAGACTGGAGGCCTTAGAGTCGGAAATTCAAGAAAAGGAAAGGGTAAGTAAGAATCAGCAGGATGGCAGGAGGTTTCCTGTGACCAGCTCTCATTGTCTGACTTCTGTCTTACTCTAGGAAGGTGCTTCAGGTAGACTTAGAGAGAGGGAACATTCCTCTTCCCCCTGCCCCCAACTCCCCCTACCCTTGTCCCCAGGTAACTGCCCTGACTCTCTTATAGTAACAGTTTTTTCCTAATGATAAGGTGCTGCATTAGAGGCGGTTACTATTGAAAATTTTAAAATGCTTTATCATAAACAGGAAAGGGAAATCATAAGAGACTTAATAAGATTAAACTGTTTACATTTCTACATGGGAAGATGATATTTGTAACTCATAAGACCTATCTCATTATTAGGGTAGTTAGAAGGAGTGTATATATAGACAGAGGACACAGGTATGTGTTCAATATGAAGGGATCATATCTAAAAAGTAAAATTAAGGGGTGAGAGAGGAATGTACTAGGAGGAAAAAAAAGGGAGAGGTAGAATGGGGTAAATTATCTCACATAAAAGAGGTAAGAAAAAGCTTTTACAATGGAGGAGAAGAGGAGGGAGGTGAGGGGGAATGAATGAACCTTACTCTCATCAGAATTGGCTCAAAGAAGGAATAATATGCACGCTCAGTTGAGTATAGAAATCCATCTCACCCTGCAGGAAAGTTTGAGAGAAAGGAGATAAGAGAAGAGGGTGGTGATAGAAGGGAGAATAGATTGGGGGAGGGGGTAGTCAGAAGCAAAACACTTTTGAGGAGGGACAGGGTGAAAGGAGAGGGAGAATAGAATAAACAAGGGTGGGGGGAATAAGATGGAGGGAAATATAGTTAACAGTAGTAACTGAAAAAAATTTTGACGCAAGTTTCTCTGATAAAGGCCTCATTTCTCAAACATAGAGAACTGAGTCAAATTTATAAAAATAAGAGCCATTACCCAATTGGTAAATGATCAAAAGATATAATCAGTTTTCAGATGAAGTAATCGAAGCTATCTATAGCCATATGAAAAAATATTCTAACTCACTATTGATTGGAGAAATGCGAATTAAAACAATTCTGAGGTACTACCTCATACCTATTAGATTAGCTAATAGGAAAGAAAAGGTAAATGACAAGTGTTGGAGGGGGTGTGGGAAAAATGAGACATTAATGCATGGTGGAGTTGTGAACTGATTCAACCATTCTGTAGAGCAACTGGGAACTATGCCCAAAGGGCTATAAAACCATGTGTACCCTTTGACCTAGTAATACCACTATTACTAGGTCTGTATCCCAGAAGAGATAAAAAACAAAAAGGAAAAGGACCTATATGTACAAAAATATAGCAGCTCTTTTCTAGGGGTAAAGAATTAGAAATTGAAGGGATGCCCATCAATTGGGGAGTGACTGAAGAAGCTGTGGTGTGCGATTATGATGGAATACTATTGTACTGTAAGAAATGATGAGCAGGATGCTCTCAGAAAAACCTAGAAAGATTTGCATGGGCTGATGCAAAGTGAAATGTACTCTGTACAAAGTAACAGCAATATTGTAAGATGATCAGCTATGAATGACTTAGCTATTCTCGCAATACCATGATCCAAGACAACTCTGAAGGGTGGGGGTGGGAAGGGAGGAAGGGAGAGAATTTGGAACTCAAAAGTTTTAAAAATAAATGTTAAAATTGTTTTTACATGTAACTGGAAGAAAATAAAATACTAAATAAAAATGCTTTATTAAGTTAAAGATGTCAAATCAAAACCATAATTTCACCAAATAATTTAGTATGAGGTCATTTTCTGTTTTCTAAAGGCTTGTAGGGTGGCCTTTGGGGGAATCTGGCATTTTTTAAAAATTTTAGTGTCTGGAATACTTCCTCTATTCTTACCTTTTAGCATCTTAAAGTAGAACTCATCATTGGAGTCAAGAGATTTGACCAAATTGTGTTATCAATCCTTACTAATGGGCCTATCCCTTCCTTGTTGTTCTTTTCGTCATCATAACTTTAAAAAAAAAAAAGCCCTTTTTATTGTTCTTAGAAATTTTTCAAAGTTCCTTGCAGGCATTAGCCCACTTAACATTTTTCTTACAGATTCACGTCATCCATTTTCTTCATCCTCGGTTACATGCCCCTCTTTTCCATCCTTTGTACAAAGCCTTTTGAAAATTTGAGCTTATCATTGGGCAGTGTGTATAGCGACACTGTTTTTATCTAAGAAACATAAACACATTGAGATTTACCCATAGGAGAGGTTCAGTAAATATTTATTAGTTGATTTATAAAATTGCATTAAACTAGGATAATGAGATGGATTTATAATAAAGCCTACCATAAAATAACATTACACCTGAATACTCATAATAGAGATTGTTTTTTGTTTTTTAAATAGAAAGGAGTCCACATTAAAAAAAAAGTCATATAAGTGGGAAAATTAATTGAATGGTGAAGCAAGAGATGTTGCTTTTCTTGCTTTCTGTTGCTACTCACTGTTAAGATTGCTTGTGGACTAAACATTTGGAAATAACAGCACATTCAGAGGCAGCATAATGTAGTGAATAGACAGCCAGCCTCAGAGCCTGGAAGGATTGCATTCAACCCCCCCACTGATGTATGCTGGCCCTCTGATCCCAGTGCTCTAGGTAAACGTCTAGGGGTAAGTTACAGGGAAGGTACCAACATATACTGGTAGAGGGAGTTTATTCACCCAGGAATTTCCCAGACCAATTAAGTCACAAATCCAGTCCCCATTTCCTATTCCATAATCTTACCTGCACACATTGTAATAAAGAAACCAGAATCTTGCTAGTAGTTGTTCAGTCATTTCAGCCTTGTCTAACTCTTTGTGACCCCATTTGGGGACTTTCTTGGCAAAGATAGTGGAGTGGTTTTCCATTTCCTTCTCCAGCTCACTTTACAGATAAGGAAACTGAGGCATACAGGGTTAAGTGACTGGTCCAGGGTCACACAGCTAGTAAATGCTTAAGGCCAAATTTGAACTCAAGAAGATGAGTCTTCCTGACTCCAGGCCTGGCATTCCGTCCACTGCACCACCTAACTGCCCATGTTTAAATATCAGATCCCAAGAGAAATATGAAAAAGGGTATCCATACCCTCATAACCCTTTTTGTATGTAGTGTGGATGATCTTTCCTTCAATGGTCACCTGGCCCCTTCAGGGCTTCTTCAAGCATTTACTTCTAGATCCAAGGCCAGTCTTATCATTCTAAAATAGTTTAATTTCAATGGTGACTCCTATTTAATACTATAAGATAGATGATTTTGTGAGTGCAAACACTACCTCCAACAATGTAGGTTAATAAAGTGGAAAGGAAGCTAAACTTGGAATCATGGGAACTGGATTCAAATCCAAGCTTTGCCAACTTCTACCTGTGTGACCTTGGACAAGTCTTGAGGCCCTTCTAGGCCCTATTTCCTCCTCTGTAAAATGGAAGAACTGGATTAGATGACCTCTAAGGTCCTTTTCAATTCTGGATCTGTGATCCTAAAAGTTGCTATTGGCTGAGAAATTGAGTTTGTTCTGACTCAGACATTGGACATAAAACCTATGCTAGGCCTTTCCAGCTCTGAATAGTACCTGCATGACCTCATGCTCCAGTGGCATACTCTTCCAGAACTCAAGACCCACCACACAAGGAGGCATTGGATTAGGTCATTTAGGTCATATCTCATATTTTCAGAAAAATCCTTTCCCCACTGTCTGAAATTCTACTGGCAGAGTTTTAGTCCTTTGGTTTAAATTAATTCCTATTAAGAATGCAAATTTCCCTGGAAAGGGTCTAGGCTCAGTAATCAAGTGTGATTTCTTGTAATGGCCCAAAGAGTGGAATTACATGAGTCTGAGGAGAGGGAGAAGGGCACCATTCAGGAGACAAAGAACACAGAAAGCTGAAAGCAGGAAGCACTAAAGATAGTTTTCTATAATTTTTCTTGGTGTTGTCCCTGTTATCCCAGTGGCACTGTGAATGATGGCCTCTGGGACTCAGTAATAACAATAATTCTAGAACAACCAAAAGTATTTTCAAGAGCTCTCTCACACATTAGAACAATGATCTGGATACATCCTTGTTCTCCTGTCATGTGAGGGTAAGTCAGAATTGGACTATCCCCATGAATATGCCCCAATGACTTGTGGGGTTGCCTGTACTTTATATATTTTGTGGAGGAAGGAAAAAGAGGAGAAAATTTAAGTTAACAGCCCTTTGGCTGAACATCATGGGAATTTGTGAGAATGCCTGAGAAGGTGCTCTGACAGGGAATGTGTAAAACAAGCTGTGTTTCGAGAAGATGAATAGAACCAAAGGACAAATTGAAAATACTCCATCTTAGTATTATGAAAATGGCAATTTATTAACTCAATAAACCAGCAGGAACTCAAGGCCAGATTCTTGTCAGTGATGTAAGATCAAATTTCATAGCTCTCCAGAACAACTTTAGAAAAGAATTTTTCCCCAGAAATGTTGTGCAAGATTAGAGAGACAAGGAAATTAGTATTACAAAATTCACTGAGTTCCTGGAAATTAGCTACATTCTGTCTCTTAAATGCTACATGACCTCAAAAAGAAAGTTTTTGGAATTTGCCTTTTGGTCTGTTCCATAACCTTAGGGCTTGCCCCCATGGAGTTCTCCCTTTGCTCTTTAATTTTAAAAATTTCTTATTTATAGCTTTTATTTTTTTATATCACCTTCATTTCCAAATTTATCCTTCCCCTTTCTGCTACTCAAAGAATCATCTCTTGCAATAAATGAATGAATGAATGAACCAACCAAAAAGAGGGAGAAAACAGTTTAACAAAACTACCCAAGACATCAACTGACTCTGTGAACATATGTAATTTCCATATCCATAGTCCCTCCCACCTCTACTAAGGAAGGAAGCATTTTTTTTCATATCTTTTTAGATCCCAAGTTTGATCATTATAATTATATAGCATTCAGTTTCTCTTTTTTGTATTCTTTCCATTTAGATTGTTATAATTATGTATATTGTTTTCATAGATTCACTTTTTTTCCCTGCATCAGATCATATAAGTCCTTTTGGTTCTCCAAATTCTTCATATTCATTATTTCCTATGGCACATTAACACTTGTTATGTTCATACACCATAATTTGTTTAAGTCATTTCCCAGTTGATGGGCATCTACTTTGTTTCTGTTCTTTGGTACCACAGAAAGTACTGCTAAGAATATTGTGGTATATGTGTAATATTTCTTCCTGTCTTTGACTTCCTTGGGATAAATACCTAGCAATGGGATATGTGATTCAAAGAGAATGGACATTTTAATTCCAAATAGCTTTCCAGAATGGTTGGGCAAATATAGTGCTTCACCTACAGTATATTAGTGTGCTTGTCTTTTCGTAGCCCCTCCAGCAATCAGTATATGTCAATTTGCTGGGCATGATCCCCCTGCACTTTAAATAATATTAATAATAGATCACATTTATACAGTACTTTTCTAATATGATTCCTGTAAACTAAAAGTGCCCTTTCTTCTTCTTGATCTGCTCTGTAGAAAGAGTTTGCTATCAATTATCTCTTAACTTTGAAGTTAAATCTCTAGATTTTCCCTTTCTAGGAGTTATTTGCATTTTAAGCTTCACCTTTAATTGTAACATGAAGCCTATATGCTGTTTTTAAAAAAAAAAAGAACTCTTACATCATGGTATCAACTTTTCCAGCTGTCATGGGAAGATTTGAAAAGGAAATCAGTATTGATTACTTTATTTTTAGTTTGATTTTGGGATTAAACTCCCCTCTTCAGGAAAAGCTAGCCCTAACAGCTAAGTCAGGCTAATATAGATAGTCTCTTAAGTCTAGGTTACCTATTGATTTAGTGACCAGATTGAATAAGACTTTATCATTTAGTAGGAGATGATTTAGAATAAGGCATATATCTTTGTGGGAATAAAATAATCATAGGATTATAAGACTTTTTTTTAAAGGCTAAGTTCCCCCTTCCAGCAGCTAGAGAAAGGGGAGGTTGACCAAAATTTAAGTTCCTCTTTCCAGTGTTTGTGGATAAGATCCCTTTTTTCTTGAGCTAGAGTCTAAGTTGAGTAATGGAATCTTGGCAGCTGGAAGATGGGGAGGGGAGGGATGGAAGAAAGCCTGGGTGAAGCAAACTGGTCAGATGACCTGCCTTGACCAATTGAATCATGTTTAAAACAAGTTTCTGTAATTTTTTTATTCCTCTCTTCTGTTATAAAAATCAGCCTCTATAAATCACTCTATAAAATCTTTGTCTCTGACATCTGAATCAGATGACCTAGTTTGACATACAAATGCTAGCTTTGAAAATTAAGTCGTAATTGTTCAGTAAACTTGTACTTCAGTTTCTTCTTATTTCAGATAATTTGAACTCTTTTGCAGTGTTTTATTTGGGAAAATACTTTCCTTAAAATCAAACGATTAGTACCCCTTTCAAGTACGAGATGTGGGATATAGAAAGTTGCTAGTTGTAACTTTGAAAAATCCCTCTGATGAGATCACTACCAGGATTCTTGTTATTTCCATTTAAGAACTGAACTAATATAAAATTGGTTTAATTTTATGTTGGCTGGTAGTTAGAAATTGGAGCTGACATGGTAGACAGTATACCCTGCAGTTAGGAAGATTCATCATATCTGGCCTCAGACACTTACTAGCTGTGTGATCATGGGAAAGTCACTTAAACCTGTTTGACTTAATTTCCTCATTTGTAAAATGAGCTGGAGAAGGAAATGGCAAACTGCTGTCTTTGCTAAGAAAACCTCAAATGGGGTCACGAAGAGTTCAACACAACTGAAAATGACTGAACAAAAAGTTAGAAAATAATTCTGACTTTGTAAATTTAGAATTTTTTGTGTTGAAAAGACAATTTAGTTCTAATTGAATTAATTTGGCACCCAAACTCAACTCATGATGTGGCTATTTTTTTCTTTTTTAAAAATAAATTGCATTTATTTAAAATTACAATCTTAAAAATATTGATTATCAAATATTTAATTTAATTTAAAATAATCAATAATTATTTAGATTATTAAATTACACCAAATTATTAGATAATTATTTGATGAATAATTAATTTAAAATAAATTAATAATTATTATTGGTTGTTAATATTAACAAATTTGTGATATTATAGACAGTTACATTATTCTTTAAGTTGTTTTTTTACCTTGCCCACATTTCGCAATGTGTCCATCTCCTTTCTTTCCCATAGAGCTATCCTTATAGCAAAGAACAAAAGGAAAATAAGACAGTTCAACAAAATTAACCAGTACTTCTAAAAAGTCCTAGATTGTATGAGTGTTCCACACCCATAGTCCCTTTGCCTTGTCTAAGAAGCTTCTAAAAAGTTTCAAGCCAGTGAAAAAATGTAATAGAATGTAACCTACCTTTATATAATATACAATATAGCCTTATTAATACTCTATATAAAAACATTCACTCTACCCTTATCTTCGTGATTGGTTGCTATTTTAATATTTTATCCTTACTCTGATTTTGTCAATAAATGTGAAAAGTGGTCATTGTTCTGGGTTATGATTTTCATGTTTCTTTCTTTTTTATTTCCTGTTCCATTTTTTCCAACAGGAGTTGAAAGATCTCCGAAAACAAGGTGAAATCATACCCCAGCTCATGTCAGAATGTGATTTTGTCACGGAGAAATTAGAGGTACTGGTCAGAAACACATCTAACAGAGGACATTGGGGAACGCACTTGTTTTATTACTATCTTCTAGCTTCACTTCATTTAGCTTCCTAGATGCCGAAGGTTAGACTTTTTTGATTCAGAGGAAGTGAATAGTGATTGCATTCCTGCTGCTTTGCCCTCAGAATTTAAGTGCAATGGGATTCATTTCTTGGTTGTTGTCGTTTTAATCCTGTTTTAAGAAAGCTTCTCCTTAACTTAAGGGCAGAGTCCAAGACCCACTATATCAGGTCCATGCAGGCCTAATGTAAATTTCAGTAGCAACAAAGAGGGTGACTGTTCCAGATACAGTAGTTTCATTCCAAGTTACATCAAGAACCTATCTAAGCAACAAATTCACCTTTTGAAGTAAATGCCTCTGCAGTTAATAAATAGTTTCTGGGCATATTCCCAAAATAGCCACATTTTACAAATCCACAGGATGAAATATTATGAAACGTCTAATTTGATCCTAAGACGGCACAGTTCGAACCCAGGTAAAAAATGTCACCAAAATAGAATCACTGTGACCAGGCAACCTTTACAGATCCAGGAGATTTTCCCAATAATCTTTATTGACCAAATTTATTTGGTGAGATAGAATATTTGTAAAATGCTTAGCACAATGCCCAGCACATAGTAGGTGCTTTATAAATGCTAGCTATCATTATTATTATCATCATAATCATCATCATCATCATCGTCATCATCATTGTGATGATGATAGTCTTTTCAGAAACATAGCCACAGGTGACAGTAATGATGAGATCTCATGCTGGGGTCTCATGGTACTGAACATTTTGGGTTCCGCAATACGTGTTTCCAGCTTTTCATGGAGTATTAAAAAAATCAGACAAGGGCAACTTAGGAGGTCTGGGGTAGGATGTCATGTCCTTTATTTGGGGGTTCAGTTTCCCTCAAAAAATGGTAACGATGTCTGCCTTCTTGACCTCTCAAGATTATGCAGTTGACAATCTCCTGTTGGGATTTGCCTTGGCTCTTTGAAAAATATCATTCAGTCAACCTACAAGCATTTAGTAAGCAACTGCTATGTGTCAGGAATTATACTAGTCACTGTGGATACAAAGACAAAAACAAAGCAACCCTGGTCCTCAAGGAACTTCATTCCGATTGACGACACAAGATGTACATATATAGGCACATATGAAGCAATTACAAAGTAAATAAAGGTAACTTTGAGGAGGAAGGGGCACTAGCAGTTGTCGTGGAAGGGAAGGAAAGGTGATTCCAAGAGGCAGAGGTGGAGAGGGGATGCAATTCAAGTATGGGGGACAGCCAGGGTTGAGGCTTGGCAGGCAATGAGTGTCCTGTTTTAGGAACCACAAAAAGGCCATCTTGGTTGGACCACAGAATGTATGAATGGGAGTAATGTGTAATACAGCTGGAAAGGTAGGATGGAGCCAGATTGTACAAATCTTTAAATATTAAACAGAGGAGTTTATATTTCATCTTGGACATAATATAGAGCCACTAGGATTTATTAAGCCCCAGGGCAGGGGTGGGGGAAGGTGTGGTGACTTGGTTCAACCTGGGTTTAAGGAAAATCACTTTGGCAACATTGTGGAGGATAGGTTGCAGAGGGAAAAGACTCGAGGCCAGGAGACTAATTAGGAAACTATTATAACTGTTCAAGTGAGAGGTGATGAACATCTAAACTAGTATGGTGGTTGTGGGAAGGGAGAAACTAGATTCCATTTATCCATGCTTTCTTTCCTTGGTCTCCACACCTGAAAATAATTGAGACTATGCTGTTGGATGTCTTTGTCATTGATGGCGTCCATGATTACTATCTTTCCTGACTTCTTTTTGCTTTCATTCCAGGCTTCTGAGAGAGAAAATCAAAATCTCGAAGATAAAGTGAGGTCTTTAAGGACAGACATCGAGGAGAGTAAACACAGACAGCGCCACCTAAAAATGGAACTCAAGAACTTTTTGGAAGTCCTTGATGGGAAGATCGATGACTTGCATGATTTTCGGCGAGGGCTCTCCAAACTGGGAACGGAAAATTAGAGTGCAAGTTGTGATCTAGGCTCCAGGAGTTTGATGTTTGTTAACCCTAAGTGTGTGTATTACAAAATAGGAACAGGAAGTACACCTTGTCTGCATTTTTTTGTAAATAGAGGCTCAGAGTATGTTGTGTTTTCCAACCAAATGTGCTGCTCACTAACTTCTGTCCAGAATAGAAACCTTTTCTTGCTTCTCTGGGCTTGTAGACAGGTAGAGGATCCTACCTCAGGAATCAGGAACTAGGTTTACGTTAAATGCATATGCAGTTAGTCAGTACAGGGACATCTATATTTCTTAAGGACTGTTGCAACCATAGAAACACAAAGTGTTTTCTAATCCAACTTCCAAAATTCTAAGCAACCTGCAATTTCATTGTTTTTTGTTAAATGAGATTGGAATTAGTTGGGATTCCTAATCTCACTGATCAAAAATATAATAGAGATGATTTCTGCTCTGGTACATTTTGGATTAGATGATTCTGAGGTCCTTTTGAAGTCTGTGATTCCTGACAGGTGTACATTAGTTTTGGGATAAGCTATCTAAGACTCATTGTGTATCAGTGTAGTGAATCTCTCATAGTAGACGTGATGCTTTAAAAAATGAGTTAATAGAGATTTCAGAAGAAGAAAGGGAATCAGGTTTTTAAGAAACATAGGTATGTCCTCTAAATCAGCGCACCATTTGCACATGTCATGTGGTCTGCAGGACTACAAAACAACTTTCCTTTTAATTATTTTTAACTTATAAGTGGACAACCATGATAAAAAAGCAACAGACCATGAAGGCTGAGTCTACATGAAGAGTGGTATTGTAATCAAATAAAACTTGAAACAAATTTCAGCTGGCACATTTAATTTATATATACATTATATATAATATATAATTGCATACCATTCAGTTGGATGGTGTGTGTGTGTATACATATACATGTGTGTGTATACATACATACACATACATACATAAATGCGTGCACATGTGTGTGATATACACACATATATCTAATCTAATTACCATTCAGCTGGATGGTGTCTCACACACACACACACACACACACCATTCAGCTGAATGATAATAGGTGATAAATAGTATGCAATTCACTTAAATGACTAATATTACTTTTTCCACAGCCAAGCCAAATCATTTCTGGGGTTAGTCAAGGGAAAGTGGGGGGGAACTAGGTAGATTAGGAACCTGTGGATCCTCTAAATTCCAGGTGACTACATACATGACCTTACTTCTCCAGTGGGAGACACCTACAGACAGATGTTCTGGGTGCCACAGGATGCCAGGTACCCCTAGGTCTAAGTGTGGGAGCCAGGAGTCCTTGAGTGCCTTGACTTAAGTCAGGGCAGCCTTCTGTTCTAGGCTGCAAGCAGTTGGAGGGGGGGAAAAGGGAGAAGCACGGCTAGAGTTTCTTCCTTCTAGCTACCAATCTCTTCTCTCCCATTAGGGCTGCCTCTCAGATCTCTGGGTTGTACATGTGGAGGAACTCAGAGCAACTTCCACTTCCCCTTCTATTCTTCCTTCAACTGAGGGGAGGGGCCTGTGGGGGAACACAAATACTATATTCCCCGCCCCAACACACACTTTTACCATCCATCCCCGAGATGGCTTTAGGTTCCCTCATTAGAGGAGGTTTTCTTGTCCCCAAAATACCTCCCTCACTTTGCCCGAGGTTCTACCGACTAGACATTTATTTGAATTATCCAGCAGATGTGGGGTGGGGGTAGGAATTAAAAAGGAGTTATCCCATAATCCTACTAACCCACTTTAAGTGGATACTCAGTACCCTATAACTTAGATAGGAGAGAAAGACAGGTAGCTGCAATGAGATCTTGGAAGAAACATCCAGAAAACTTTCTCAGGTTGTCCCAAGCTTATGGTATGTTTTAGAGGAAAGGTGCCTGTAGCTGCCTTTGTCCCTGGACCATAAATAAGTATTTTCATTGCTCAGGAGTCACCATGCTTTGTTTTGGCTAGAGCCTTACTTAAAAGAAGGATATCAAAGGGGTGGCAATCATCCCTAAGGAAGGCTTAGCGCCTCTCCTTGAAGGCCAGAGCGTGGGAGAGAATTGTGCATGTGGAGTCTAGGACGGAGGCCAGCAGAAGTCTCTGTGATCAGTCACTGTCAGCGAAGGCCTTCTTAGAGAACGCCATTAAAGTTGTTCAGACCTCAGAACTGATGGAGCAGTTGGTTCAGATTTCCAGAATAGAAATAACTTATAAATTACTTTGAAATATGCTGTCTGCCCCAACTCAGAAACCCTTAAAGGGTACAATGAGGCCAATAAATGATCAACATGGAACAAGACAAAAGAAGATCTTGATGGAACATATTGTGGTCCCACACTGAAGCCATTTAATGAACATTGGTTAAGAACAAGGTGTTACAGAATGAGGCATGGGAACATCTTTTGTGGTGAAAAGTGAGTTTAGTGCAGTCTGAAGGAGGAAAAAAACTTCATAAAAGCACCTATTGATCAATCAATTCTGTTTTTGTTTGAGAACTGCCTCAATGTTTTTCTTGCTTCTTTTTTTTTCCTTGTTCTTAGAAAAAAAGTCAGACGAAGTCCTACAGAAAGTGGATGAATAGTTGCCAGTGTCTGATAGACTGGTGTGTTGGGGTGAGTGTGATAGGGTAAAGGGTAAATTATAAGATTGAGTCTTTAAGTTTATTCTGGTATTGACTCATGAAACAGTGATGTAGCAGGCACTAGTTTGATGATGTATTTTTTCTCAGAACAGACTTTCAAAAAGCAAAATTTTTGGACTAAAAAGCTTTGCCTTAGATTTCATTTTAAATGAAGTATAATAAGGACAAAATTCTCCTAGATGTATTGGGATCCAAATTATATCAGACTACCTACAACGCTTAGAAATAAGAGTTTTTAGATTCAAGTGGAGACTCTTGTCAGCCGTGGCTCGTCCTTTCTTCCGTATCTGTAAAACATGGTGCCGTGTCTAAAAAGAATAAAATAACGTGGATTCATGAAGCTCCTCAGAATGAAAGAAAAATTACCTTGATTGGTCATGATGGTCACAATGAGGGATTGCTGAGAGTGTGTACACAAAAATCAAGCGAATTGGGATAAAGACAGTGGGATCTGGCTTGCAAGGGTTTGGGGAAACAATTGTGACAATAGTCCTTTATGTTTTTGTGCTGTTTTATTGTCTACAAAGCCCTTTCCCATCTTCAGTCTCATTTGATCCTTGCAATAACCCTTCTGTGGGGAGACAGAGCAGGAATTCTTATCCCCATTTAACAGAGAAGGAAATTGATGCTCAAAATTTTGTGACCTCGCTTAGTGGTAGGGCCAGGCCTAGAAGAGTCATCTTCTCTTGGTTGAGTCCTATTTTCTATGACAACATCCTGCCTTTCTATTAAAAATCTGTCAGGCTCAGAGATGATTTTTTTTTCATAACCTGATTTGAGCTATAAAAACAATATTGTTTTGAGCATATAACTATTGCTCTGGCTACTGTCCACAGCAAGAAAGAACAGGTAACTGTCTCATTCTATTTACAATGACATTGAATATATTTAGTTTTTTAAAAGATTTGCATTTGATCACAGGTGTCATCACAGGAAAGCACGGGCTAGGTCACTACTGTGAATGCAAGTTTTGTGGATATCACTTTTTTTTAAACATTCAAATGTAGTTTTTGTTTATGTGTAGCATCCCTTTGGGTGTCTTTGCCTCCCCTCTTCAACTTGGACAAAGTCTGAAAGGGGATTTGATCCCTTAAACAGGTATTACTAGCAGAACAATTTATTTAAAATAAAATTAGTAGATTTACCTTAGAAGTATGAATAGGGTTCTTTCTCAAGAATTTCCCAATTCTTCCCTCATGTAGATTTTAGTCAGTCTTACAATTTTTCAAGCCATTCTAGTATCACCTTAAAATGAAGGACTGTCAATACTTAAAGTAATTGTAATGTTTACCTCATAGCATATCAATAAGTCCTTATGAAAGGCAGTTGGGCTCTCCTCTCATAGCCATTAGGTTGGTCTTCATTATGATTTTCAGTCTGTGAAGAAGTGGGCCTTTGGGGAACTCTTGGTTAGCAGGCAATAACCAGGCACTTGAGGTGGAGGTGGAGGACATAAAAATTGCACTTCCCCAAAACATGAAGAGCCATCCAGTTTCAAAGACCTTCCTTTGTGTACTATGCTGTGGCATCTTTGGCCACCACTCTGTGGGTGCATATAGCTAGGTCTGTAAGTGGTAAGTTGTAAGAACCATTTCACAGGCAGACCCTGAAAACAGAAGGCCAATAGGAGATTAAGGATTTAGCTCATGATTTTCTCTTTCTCTTTCTCTAAGGGAACAACATGGATGCTGTTAGATTTCAAAGTACTTTCCTGCACAACTAGATGTTGCTGGTTGTTTATTTTTAGTTTGGCTGAATTTGTTGTTTGCACTACATTTGAAAGCACAGACGGTTTAAATGGAGAACACTCATCAAGGTGCCTGTGTATTTTTGAGTTACACACATGATTTCAGAGCCCTTTTTTCTTGATCAAGTAGTTACCAAAAGAAACTTATTTATACTGTTTGTCTACTTGTGTGTATGTGTGTATAGAGATGTGTGTGTGTGTGTGTGTGTGTGTGTGGTATATATGTCCCTTAAATACCTCTCATGGTGGCATCTATGACATAAGCACCTAAGAAAATGTTTTTGATTTTCAGTTTAAATACTGGTCAGCAATAATTTTTAGCCATAGACCAGCTATGAGAATGGCTATTCGAAAAGAATTTTGAGTTAAAATCCTGGGGATGAGAGTATTAAATAACTTAGGGAAGAAGGGAGGTGGGAGAGGGTTGTTAGGGTGGGGCAAGGCTTTCTGTACTGATAAGAGAAGTTTTTTTTTCCTCCCTAATGGATAGTTTTGAGAGAGAGAGAGAGAGAGAGAGTGAGCGTGAGAGCTGGCATCAGAGTCAGAAAGATCTGGTTCAAGTCTTGCCTAGGCAACCCTCTAAGACTATATAAGTTGCCAAGGTGATGACCTGCATTGGTAGGGAACGTTTCTTCAATCTGTACCAATGAAAATCCAAGGTCCTGTCCCTAATAGAATAATGCTGCATAATACACTCTGCAAATTATTTATGAGAGGAAGAGTTTTATCAGTTGTGTGTAGGCTTCCCCTCCTGCCCCCTTCATTTAGATGTAATTCTACAGAATTTAACTCTTTTTAAACCTTCATCAAGAATAATTGACTCTTTGTGATCAACCACAGGGTTTTCAGACCTGTCAGGAGACTTTGGTAATAAAGACAGTTTCCAAGCCTGCTTTTTTGCTATTATGAGTAAAAATTTATCAAATAATTGAGAACATTATTGATATACAGCGATGGGGCAACATAGTCACCTCAATTGTCATCTGTACCCTCTTTTAATATATTTAATATATGAAGAAACATGCTGAAGTATTTGGTTGTGTTGTTGTTAAGAAGTCTTTTATGTTGTCAGCTGTGTGCCATTAACTAATAGACATTTCTTACATCAAATACAAGCATTTAACAGTAAATGCAGATAGGGTCGATTGGTTTACTGGTAGCAGTAAAGGCTGTTTTTTATATATGTGTGTAATTTAAGAACAAAAAAAATACTTTTCCTTTGAGAACTTATATACCTTTGTGATTTTTATCTGATTTTCTTGTATCATATAGAGTTGTTTTATGTAAAAATATATAGTTTAAGTAAAATGTCTGTGTCTGTTTTATTTTTTTCATAAGTAAGGGATATCTTAGCTCTGCATGGATTTTGGGTCTCATCTTGAGGTCACCTATCCGAAGTCATCCCCAAGGCTTGATTGCTTTCATGGGTCTCTGTACCATGGC